CATGTTAGCGGCGTCACGGGGATACTACAGAAGGAACTCCTCCAGAGATCAAGGCAGTACAAGAATGTCCTGGTGGGCATAAATGAGTTCCGAACGTCGAAGGTATTCTTATGAAATCAGACTGATAAAGTCAATGTTATTTAATGACGGTTTTGTTTCATCAGCTATTTAGGTTTGCAACAACTGTAAACAGAAGGGACTAGAACAAAAGAAGCTCTCGAATGGTAAAAAGTCCCACAGTATATTAGATTGCAAAATCTTCAATATACTGTGGAACAGAGATACAAATGCAAGTAAAAACATGCTCGATATCTCTTGGGCCATTTGGAGAGGTGAAGGAAGACCCTCGGTTTTCATTAGAGAAATCGCCGTCGAGAACACGGTTCCCTCCAACATGGTTTAGATATTTACAAGTAGACAATAATAAATTAAAAACGACAGTCTGCATACACTCTATTCAGAAATCATTCGCACAATTGACAGTAAAATGATAATTTCAGGACAATAAATATAAAAGAGAGGGCCCACAAGAGGCAAAGGAATAAGATATAAAAGAAACGATTAGCATTTAATAACTGCATCAAGAGAAGAAGCAAGTGAGCAAACTTGTATTGACCACATTTATAAGTCTCTTCTTCAAAAATATCAAGTTCATTTGTTGTTATATGCTGTCAAGTTGAAATTAATAAAGAAAAAGATTGATAGCCAAGATCACTTGGTATTGTTATTGATTTTAAACTGTGAGCGAATAATTTCTTATCATGGCAACAAATTCAACTTGGTTTCTATAGGGACATCTTGCTGCTGTTGGGTTTCAAGGAGATTCTGTTACACAGTTCAGCCAAGATTACAACGTTCCGCTTTTGCTGTGTGTGTCAATGCTGTAACTATATTTCTCTCTTTCTTTTTCTTTTTCTCCTTTTTTTTTATTTTTTTGTATCTTCTATGACACCTGTGCCTACCATATCTATCACGACACCTGAGCTAGAAAATAAAGACTTTATTGCAAGAAGTGGAGCAGGCACACCTGAATCTCCTAAAGAGAATGAACCAGATCAGCAAGATGACCTTTTGGACATCTCACAGAACAACGAGAAATCAACTACTGTGGCAGCAAAAGTGACATTAAAAGAGTTTTATCAGCACAAGTCTATTCTGCTGACAGGTGCCACTGGATTCATTGGAAAGGCAGTTTTATGGAAATTACTTTACTCGCTATCTGATTCCGTTGATAGAATATTTGTTTTATTAAGGCCTACTCGACTTAATCAGCAAACTCCTGAAGGAAGATTAAAGGATGATATTTTATCGAATAAGGCAATAATATATGAAAAAGAGAGAGAGAGAGAGAGAAGATTATTGACAACTATTGTTTCCGATAGGCTTTTACTAGTCTTCGCGGGTCTATGGGAGCTCAATTGTTTGATAAACTTATTCAAGAAAAGGTTTCCCCTTTATTTGGCGACTTAACGGAACCTAATTTAGGCTTATCCGAAGCTGATTTAGACCTTATCAAAACCAAAATCAATGTTGTATTGCACTGTGCTGCAAATGTAGATGGAAATGAATCCTTAGAAAACTTGGTCAAAGTAAATTGTATCAGTTGACAACCATTCATGACTTGTGAGGCTTATACTTTTTTTCTTTTTATGCAGGTTAACACGTTTGGAACGGTTGAGCTATTGAACATAACCAAACAATGTGAATCAGTATATTCTTTTGTTTACCTTTCAGCCCTTCAGCCAGCAGCTGATGAAAAATACTTGCTTCCGTTATGTCAAGAAGGTTCAGCAATGGATATTGCGAAAAATATTTTGGATCAGCAGGAGTCACCACAATATAAGCCTTTGTACAACAATGGTTACTTGTTCTCAAAATCATTGACTGAGCATATTCTGAGGGATGAAATAAGCAAAATGTCCAAAGAGAACTTGCTTCATATCTCCATCATGAGATTGGCTCCTGTTGGTCCTAGTGTGCGTGAACCACTGATAGGTTGGGTAAGTTATCTAGAAAGAATGAGAGAGAAACAATGAAATGAGGCTGAGAATGTAACTGTGTGTACAAATATAGGCAGATGGAGTAAGCGGTATGAATGGTACAATCTTATTGACGGGTAGGGGTAGCAAGGTCATTCACCCTCAATCTGGTGAAAGCACGGTCGACATCATCCCTGTAGACTATGCGGCACGCTTGATTATTGGTTGCCCTGCCGTCTCACAGATCCCAACAGGCAGTTTTGAATTACCAACTACTCCTACTTCAGCTATCCCTACACCTGACGATCAGCAACCACAGCAGCCAAAGACGCGTAAGCGATCCTCTAGTCAAGCAAGCAGAATATCCATTCGAAGTAGCCATTTCCAGCCTCCTAGACTCACTGACTTACCTGAGATCCAATTACTTCCTGTCATCTATCAGATATCCATGTCTCACAAACGCTCTCTGACATGGGACGTTGGATATGAGGCAATTCGACAATACTGGACCAAAGCAACCCATACCAGTTTGCCCCCCTCTAAGCAGTACTTTTCGCAACGAATGAGCATCAATGCTAGTCCAACCCCCAGTCTATCACGTGCACGAACCGTGATGAATTCGATCAAAGGCTACTATAATGCATCGACTAATATGCCAACAACGGGGTCAGTATCTTCTTCTGATTCTGTGACTGTCAGTCCATCCGTATCCACCGAGCACTCAAGCAAGAGAAGTTCTCATCGCCTCAGCCGAGTTGTCGATAAAGCAGCTAAACTAGCCAACTCCAACACTCTCTATGTCAATGATCGTTTGCAGACAAACCATCATGCTGCAGCCTTGAGTTTGGCCTTACACTTGGTAAACGACGACATCGAGTTTGATCCTACAGCCATTGTACCTCAAGATGCTAACAAGGCGTTCTGGGTCAACTACTTGATCAATGCAAGCTATGGCGTACACTATTTTGTCTGTCAAGAGACCAACAGCATTCGTTTGCCTACACCTATCTATGGCTGGAGCTGTGCTATTCAGTCACATCAGGATTCAACGCTTGGTGATGAAGAAGGAGGAGGATACAATACGGTTCAGCGTCAGGTGAAGAGCTCCATCTTTTCACAAGACGAAATCACACAACGCACATCTCGCATGGTATCACATATCAAGAGTATCGTGATTCAGAACACGCAGGCTCAACAAAAAGAGAGATCCGACGACGCGTGGTTGACCGACTTGGACGACTCGCTAGATGACTGGTGTCAGGATATCGAAGTAAACCATGCAGACAGACGTATGGCGTTAGGTAAATGGAAAAAGAAGGTAGGCAGTAACGATGAGTCGGTCAAGGTCATCGTTTTGAACGATAAGCGTGTCAACTTGGCAATCAATCAAATCACTCAAAATGCCGGCGTGCCCAAACAAACGGCGGTCAATGAAGCACTCAAGATATTGATGAGAATGAGCGAACGTACGCAGCTTGCCTTTGTCTGGTTCACAGGATCTTTCCTTCGATCTCTTTTTGATGACATGTTTGACCATGTACGCATATTGGAAGAAAGTCTTCGCTCGATTCGTCAATCGACCATTGGTAAACGCGTTGTTTATGTGCCAACGTCTAAGAGCATACTGGATCAACTATTAGTATGGTACATGGCCATTCGGTATCACCTACCTGTGCCTGCTCTTGCCTGTGACGAATCAATGTCGCAGATGGGACCTATATCGGATATCTATCGTCTAGCTGGTGCTTATTATATGAAGCGTGACAAGTCCAAGCGATCACCCTTGAACTCGGCCGTAACAGCGGCATACACACAAGTTCTTTTGAGAGAGCATGGTGCACTTTCCTTTTGCCTAGAACGATCAAGGTCCCGTACAGGCAAGTTCCAAGATGCTTACTCGGATGGACTAATCGAAATGGTGATTGAAGCCACCCTGCAGACAAACCAAGGCAGTCGAACAACCTCAACGACATCTACAAGTTCAAGTGCCATTTCGAGAGTCGTCAGCTCTGAACTCAACACACCGCCTGATTCACCTTCATCTATCAGCAGCATGGACAGTTTAACACAACAGCAGAGCTTTAATAATCAATCAAAGAAAGTTCACAAGGATGTGGTGTTTGTACCGATTAATATAAACTACGAGAACGTGCCTGAGCTTGCTCATTTGATTGACGAAGTGCTTGACCAGCAGCCATCTCGACACAAGCGTACACCTTCAAACGCGTCATCGCCACCTCTCACCCCAATTCCTTCCTCACGTATGGTCAGACCTAGCGAGGCTAAGGATAAACGACGACCGGTATCGGACATGTCGATAAAGCGAAAGTACGGCCGTGTGACGCTTGGAGTAGGCCCATTGATCAGTGTGCAAGAGGTTGCTGAACAGTATATCACTGGCGGATTCGAGTCTTACGAGAGTGAGTTGGTCAAGTCCATCACGAAAAAAGTTCAAGAATCACAGCGTAAAGGATTGGTCGTGTCTACCGTGTCGGTTGTGTCTTCGATCATTCTTTACGGCCGAGCTACACATGGTGTTTGCATAGGAAAGATAAAGGAGATCATGGAATGGTTAAGAAAAAAGATTAAGCAAACTGGTTACTTGATTGACTGGGAGGGTAAAAACAGAGTTGTATATTGTTTATGTATACATGCTTATAATCCCTTTTTTTTTAATAGAGGGAGAAGATTTGGATTTGATCATTCTTACAGCTTTTAAATTATTGGATGATACAAAGAATATTATTATTGAAGGAAAAGAGATAAACGACGATACGAACATTCGAGTGAACGATCATGCAGACAATGTGATGACGCTATCCTATTATGCAAACCAGGTGATTGACGTATTTTTACTGGACTCCTTCTTTGCCATTGTCTATCTATCTTTCTTGGAAGAAACCGTCTTTGAAGATGAATTTATGGATCGATTCCGATTCTTAGTACAATTACTAGAGCGAGAATTTGTCCTTGACTGGAACGTAGAAGAAAAGTTCGAAACCGTTCTTCAAGAATATCAAGAGAAGCAGGTCATCAAGAAGCAAGATGGCAACAAGCTTGCATTGCTTGTCAATTTGGAACAAGATCCCACGCGATACGAACAACTGATGTTTTTGGCATCACTCGTCTATCCCACGGTCGATGCCTACTGGATCACATCATGTTCCTTGTCTGCCCTGGAAGCGGTCCCAATGCTGCCTAGATGCATTGTGCCCTTACTGACACAGTGGATCGCAACGCACCTGATCACTGGACGACGCACAATCTATCGTGAGGTTCTGTCGACTGAATCCAGTCGACTAGCCGTCGACGTGTTCATGTCGATGGGTTTCTTGACCGAGATCAAGGCCAAAGAAAAGCTATCGCCCGACACACAGATCTTGCTCCACGAGTTTGGCATTCCTACCTCAGAAATCCTTATCGAACTGAAAGGACAGAACAGCGATGGTGGCAAGACGCCAGTATCTCCTGTAGATCCCGAGGGTATGATGAAGGCCGTGATGGCTCAGATCGAGATGAACCGTGCTAATTCCAACATGGCCGATCTCTGTCAGCAAATAGATTCTTATCGCCTGGGCGCTGCCTCACAACGCGAGAGTTTCCAGAACGCTCAAGTGTTTCAAAAGTGTCTCAGACAGATAAAGGGTATCCTGCATGCCAATGCATCCAATAGTATTGTCAAGAGAAGAAAACTTGATTTACCAGAGGATGAAGCGAATTTGGCGCAACTCATTTATTCATTATTGGCTAGTAGTGTGCCCACTGGAGATAGGGCAGCTCAGGCCCGTGCGTTGCGCAGAATTTCAGAAGCATATAATCTACGATAAAATATATATATATCTTTTTTTTTTACTGTTCTATAGATTTTATATATCAGGTGTCTCTGTAAACATTATGGTTTTATTAATACAAAATAAAAGGAAAAAAATACATATACAAGGGGGTATTTTAAACGGATCTTAGGAATCTTGGAAGAGAATCTTTGAATCGATTTGTCAATCGTGTCCTATTGTTCACGCTTGCAGCAGCAGTAGGTGGAGGCACTGGAATAGCCAAGTCTTCGACGGGTTGAGTCATTCGAGCAGGTAATTCAATCACAGTCTCTTGATGAGCAACAGCTGCAGCCTGTGCGGCTTCATGGATCTGACGACGCATGTTTCTCGGTAAACTTCGTGCCATCCAGGATCGACTGAACTCCTCTGCTCTATCTGCAGGTATAGTGGGACCAAAGGCTGGTGAAGGTGATCGCGAAGAGGGTCGAAGTGAAGCAAAGAATGGAGAAGACGAACGGGGTGGTTGAAGTGGAGGTGTGGGTTGTGAAGTACTCTGCTCAGTATCGTTCGTTTCTGTCTTTACATAACAATCGTGTTTACAAAGAGGGCAAGAGGCAGATTTGATGGTGAGCCATGGGTCTGAAGATACAAAAAATTCAGGGCCATGTTGTTTGTTTTCATGTATTGTTATCTATTTACCTATACACTCTGTATGGAATTCATGACTACAAGGTAACTTGCGTACTTGTTCGCCTGTCGAAAATTCATCAAGACAAATAACGCATACTTGTTCATGGGATTCATGATGTAATGGTTGGTCATTATTCTCCAAGCCTCTTTCTTGACTTGAATTGGATGTACGTATTTCTTCTTGATTATGTGCGTCAATGATCCGAGTAGGAAATAGGGAAAGTGAGGCAGGGTCTATAACTTTCTTGATAGATTGTGAATGTGTATTTAGCACTGCACCCATATCGATAACTCCACTTTCATACAGAGCACGCTGTCTTCTTCGAATACGCCATAGATGCCAGTGCATACCCACTTTTTCAAATAATGGCATGATATTAAAGTAAAGAGAGAAAAAAAGAAAGAGAGAGAGAAATGAGATAAGGTTGATATAAAGTTTGAATGAGTGTGGGATTCTAAATATAGAATAATAAACAATAACTTTACCTGATGCTAAAAAGCTTACAGCGAGTAAAGCGATGACAATGACCAAGATATAAACCCAATCAGTAGGAAACTTATATTCGTCAGGATGCAAGATAACACGAATAGCAGGCTGATAACTGACATTATTGCTCAAGGTGGTTATAGGTTGATTGGAGACATAGTGTAGCATCTGAGCCAAGTCGGTTGAATCAACGTAATACATTGTGATTGTTATGTTTCCTTTTTCTATTTTCTAAAAAGGAACTATAAAAATCATGTTTATTAAAGAATCCATCACCCATTATTACCTCAGTACCACTGTTTGGATTCTTTTCAAAAGGGATTTCATTATAGATGATCACACCATCTGCGCCATCGAGTTGCGAATTATATACTTTCTGATAGAAATCACAATCTCCACCATACTTGACCAGGGCTATCCTATTGAACTTTTCTGTCTTTAATGGTGATGTATTGTGTATACTGCATGAATATCCTCTATCGTAAAGTATGCCCTATAGACGTTTAAGGATCATCTTTTTTATATACATTGATTTGTCTATTATACTTCTAGCCCAGCTGAAGGTGGTTGAACTAAATTATCAAATGTAATAATACTTTTAAACTCTTCTGCTTTTATATATGCAGTATTCCACTGTGATATTGTTCCGTTGGAATATAAAATGACAGGATCTAACAAAAGGTTACTATTACACTAGTTTCAGGCACAAACAAGCTTATATTTTACTTGAAGATATAAATGCACCACAATGGACTGAATGTAGAATAAATAATGGGAATAAAAGAAGAAATGACAGTAATGTCATTTTAAATGGAATAAAGAAAAAAAAAAAAGGAAATAAAAGAAAGGAAAGAAGAAGAAAAAAAAAGGGCCCAATCATTTTCAGGAACCTGATCACTGTCATTTTTTATTATTATGCTGAGCCTAGTCTCCACATACTCTTGGGATATTTCTCTAATTTCTTGATGACAGGCTTTATATAAAACATCAAACAGAATACGCCCAAGAGGACACAGAGAGTGCCCACGACGTAATATCCATCCTTGTGTATAATACAGCTTCCTCCTGCTTCCTTGCACCATTCTTTTCCTGATTCCTCAACACAAGATACGTCTATGTAGTATGGGATTTAGTTTTTTCATTTCAATTGGATTCATTCATATTTTACATTCACCGCTTTCAGTGGGTATAGAACACGTATTGACCGTAAAATAATCAACAGCTTCAAGCACAAAGAACTTGGGCCATGTTCCACCAAAGTTACTAAAGGTATTCAAGAGCTAAAAGAGAATAAGGTCATGATGTACACGATGACTGCTTTTGGCTTATCTTACCGTCATATAAGTTCCACCAATCAATGGATCAGCTATGCTTGTCATGAATGCTGATATGCTCACAAATTGTACTGTAGACATAAAAGAACTTAGGACAGTTGATGCCATGATGATACCAAAGTAGACCATGCCAACGGGTCTACCTTGTGGATAGTATGCCACTGTCAACATACCCAAGGCAGAACAGGCCAATCGACCATAAAATGCATAGAGCCACTAACATAATATGAGCATCTTTCCCATATGCCTTTTTATCACAACACTTACTGGCTTCAATGGTCTCGGTCCATTTGACCATTTCGCAGCATAATAACCAAAAAAGATTTGCAATGGGAAATCAAGCAGGACAGAGAGAGCCAGATCCTCACGTGAAAACCCTTTTTCCAATAGCTTCAATGAAGTAACAGCCTCATGACAAATAAAGCCAATCTTGGCGATCAACAAAACAACAATATATGATCGCATATCTACAGGGCATGATAGATTGGTTAGTCGGGGTTTACAGCAGTCCACTAAGAGGCACTTACGTGGTAATTTACAAATCTTCCAAATGGTTGCATAGACTCCACGGATACCTAATTGAGCCTCTTCATCCTTTACATCGGTCTCTTTCTTGTAGATCACGAGATAAGCTGTCACTAACATGTATATCACTGCCCAAAATCTCATATAGTCACCTAATCCCAACACGCCATATTCCTTTGGGATTGATCTCAGGTACTTGTTACTGAATTCAGCTGAATTGAATGACAAGAAGACAGTAAAAGATAAAAAGTATCCACAGTTCAATCCAATGGTCTGTGCTGTAGATGCATACGATAAACTTTCTTTACTGAGTAAAGTTAATGCCCAACCATCAACGGCTATATCCTGGGTAGCACAAAAAAAGATGGTGGCCAAAAAGGAGTATGTCAAAATGTGAATAGGGACGTGTTCATTGCTCATCATGGCGTCTATGTTGTTGCCGAGTATATAAAATAAAATACCAGTGAGGATCTGGATAGGTATAATCCATGACTTTCGACGTCCCAAATTGTGTGAATAGACAGCATCGACAATAGGTGACCAAAGCAACTTGAGTGAGTATGGCCAGGACGATAAAGAAAAGATTGCGATTTGTGAATAAGATAACTTGGCCTTTAATAGGAATGGAATTGATCCAAAACAGAGTCCAACAGGAACACCTTGCAATAAATCTTTTTTTTTGGTTTTCATTAATAATCTGTATGTATCTTTTGAAAACAGTTCAACTTACACAAGATAACTAGTAAAGTGAAGTTGCCATAATCCTTCTTTGCGAGTACTTCTTGTTGTTGTTCTTGGTCTAAAAGTGTGTCCTTTTTATCCGTAAATGATTCCAACTCAAGCTCTTCCTTTTCGTCTTCGGCCAACGGTTTCTTAGTAGACCGTAAAGTGGTCGTGGTGTTTTGATGATCCATAACAGATGTCGAATGGGCTTGTGTTTTACTAGTAGGCGAAGGTACTATAGAGTCGTCGTCTAATGTTGAAAACACGTAACCAGTTGCTGGCATCTACTACTTTTAAATAAATAAGAAGAAAAAAGAAAAAAAAAAAGGAAAGCTTATAATTTGCAATGATTTCTTTTTATAGTAGCAACAGTAACCAAAAAAAAATAACGGTCTAGAATTACACCTTTTTATTCTCCAACTTGTGTTTAAACGTAATCTCTACTAATGTCTGTACGAACTCTTCAAACACTGGATCTTCAGCTCGAATGGTGTCCAACACTTTTTCTGGATTAGGTGAACTGTCAATCTTTTTAACGAGTTTTCTAATTTGAGAATATTCAAGAAATTCGTGTACTTTATCAGAATGAATCAGTCTTTGTAGATCTTCCGATGTCAGACGACTAGGATCTTCATCTTCTGGATCTCCTACTGCCTTGATATCTTTTCTGGTCTGTATTGTGCTGTTATCTATCATATCAATAAGAACAATAATCATAATAATAAGCAATAGATCTACCTTGATCATCTTGTTCAACATGACATGGTGTTTCTATCTTCAAGTTAGGTTTCGACTCCTTGTTATTATTGTTACTTTACCTTTATGCTTTTTAAAACAAACAAGTGAACAACTAAAAGGATGCTGTATTAGATAAAATGCATACTATGTCATTTCTCTATGTTTTTTTCTTACTATGGTAATCGACAATTAGGACATTTATATTTGGACTCTTCTTGTTCACATACTTGACAAAGCGCCATTACGTTAAAATTGTTGAAAGTGGTGAAATGACAATAAGAAAAATAAAACACAAAAAAAGAACAAACTTTTGACGTTGACCAATACATTTTTCCTTTCCGCTCTAACAATCTTTTAATCTGACAAAAAGAGCCAAAGAGCATCGTTCAATTAGACCTGTCGTAGATATCTTTCATAAACTTTCTTCTGCTTTGCTTGATAATCTTGGGTTAATCCTTGAGAGCAATATTTACTTTTAATAAAGTCGGATCAAGTCCCTTACAAACAAAAATTTGTAGTGTTAGGATACACTATGACTTTATTCATAAATAACAATAATCAAATATGATCAATCATGATCATAAATAACCACTGTCCTTATTATTTAATGCCTTTCACAACCGCGTGCTACCCTTTTGTTATAACAATCTCGGAAAGCGTCTACGTCTTTTTCTTTCTCGCATCGCTTGATAGAACCAGGACATAAGGGTTTATTAGGAGATTCCATCAGAAGTGCATTAATCCACTCTCCAGAAGACGCACAAGATACACTGTTGAGGACAAAGAGAACCATGAATAGGGTGACAAGAAAGGTATCGGATAACTTCATTTTAGTTTGATGAATGATTCTTTATTCCTCGAAAAGTTGCTCTATTTATATATTTTGAATTGCTGACCTTAAGGGGGACTATCCCTTGGTCATCTTTGACGTGTGCTCTACTCAAATACTCTGTTTATGTGGTATGTTTAATAGCCTGCTTTCATTTTCCTACTGCTGTGGATACTGGCCTAAAGGTTATTTTGTTTTTGATAGCCTCTTTCATTAAAAAAATACACTTTAGTAGTGAGATATAAACTTTGTAGTCATGCAAGCTCTATATAAACTTTATCCCAAAACAGAAGACTATATAGTAAATTTAAAGTACTAGAATCAACCTTAAATAGTCCAACCGCTAATGAAAAAAGTAGTCAAATTCAATGTAACTAACTGTCATTGCTACTTTGACAGATACTCAGATACTATCTCTTTTAGTTAACAAAGTGTCACATTTGTTATTGTAATAGTGATAGACAGAAAGTACAATGAGACTCTATGTTTCTTTTATTTGGAAGAATAAAGTTATTAAAAATGATAGCTACATTTATTAGATGGATTTGTAATTATTATTGTGATTGGTCAGTTTGCGTTACTGAGCTTTTGTTATTGATGTGTAGACACTACCTATTGACCCTTATTCAACGTAGAATACGACACAAATAAAGAAATCCGACTATTGACTAAAAAAGAAATCAACCAAATACGGTAAAATGATCAGCAATCAGAGATCGCAGGATCATACAACAGGTTGCGGAGCGCTGTTGAACCTCTGGTGGATAGATTGTCTATATTTAATCATAGTGATAATGAAACGATTCGCATATGAGCGGAATTATTTGTAGCCCTGCATAACTGGAAGACTAATGAATAAAAAATAATGCATTATTCGCTTTATACTTACCGAGACGTTAAGGAATGCACTGTCATCATGGACAATACACTAAATTCACGGTATAATTAGTCTTTTGAAGGTCTTTTGAAAGGGGGAGGAGGACTTTCATTGTTATGTCATATATATATTTAATGCACTGTTCACATCGCGATTCCACATCATACCACAAAATTTACACTTGAGAACAGCATGCATTCTTCGCTTTGATCCAATAATGGAGATATTATTCAATTGATTGGCTTTGCGCTTGTTACATATCAAACTTGCTAGATACTCATCAACATAAGCAAACCCGGTCCTCCGTTAGATTGCTTGCATTTTCGTTTGTTTTCTTCAGTAATTCGTTTTGTATCTGGAATGAAAAGCTCTCCGTTTTAGACACACTGCACATCTTACTGTGATCCATTTTTATTGAAAAACTGACGATCAAAGCAGTTGTCTTTATGAAAATGATAGATAAGGATACTAAAATGGCGCAAGATGGTCATGGATCACTATCATCCCATTCGCTAAAAGTGCTTCGACAAGGAAACGTACGTTTTGTAATCATGCAGATTCTATGCAGACTTTATTTTAAAATAGGAAATTGAAAGGCAACAGCTTTCCTCTAAAGCATCGGGATCAAACAGTCCAACAGCTAACGTGAGTAGTCATTACAAAGCAACTAAAAGCTATTATCACTTAAACTGGTACTCAGAGAGTGTGTATTTAGTTGGTGAATAGAGAGAGTAAGGCTATTGGAGTAGGAAAGATTGAGAGATTAACAAAACATAGAGCAACGACCGCATGTTGGTATACATACTTGCATGAAACGGAAGTGGTAGGAAATTAACTGTTCATATAGCAAAAAGAAACTAGAAATCGAAGAGTAATTCGATAGGTTATGGAATGCATTTGAGCCTCTGATGAATCGATTATCTTACTGGGTAGCCCATCCAACATTTACATTTAACCATTTGAAGAAGAAGCGATTTGTATCTGGAGGGAGCTATTTCCGACCATGCATGACTATTTGCCAAGGGCAGCTTAAATAAAAGGATAATCAGAAAAGAATATGGCCCAAGAAGAGCACTTCGAAGGAGTACATTAGTTAATAAAAGCAGTAGTCAAAGCTTGTAAAAGAGCATTGGTTGCGCATGCTACAAGTCGAGTTGAATTATTCACGTACAATTTATTTGCCACATACCTTTTCTGACAGTTCTGCTTTGTTTCTTCCCTTTATTTGCCCTGCCTGCTTATCCATAGCGGCAATGGGATCAATGTCACTGTAATAATGTATGTGAATGATATAGCAAGATGTTTTTATCTCAACATTGATTTTATGAACCTATCTCTACGCCCACTGCTATTGCGTTCTTCGATAGACAAAGACAGAGAGCACAAGTCTTGATCTTTGGACACACTATCGTTGTCTGCTTGCACATCTTTTTAACCGTGTAACCTAGCTTTTTTTTTTTTTTACTTTTCGATTATTCTGGTTTCCTTGTGCACTGCTTGACACGGCAAACGTCCCCTTTTTCGCCACAAAATCAGTAATAATGGGAGCATCAATCTGCCATTCCAAGAACAAACATAGGCAGGTAAAGAGGCAAAAGAAGCCGCTTCCTTCCTCAAGATTCTCGATATTTCTCATCTTTCTTTGTGAGTCTATCGCCCGGAAATGTTTACCATTCTTTCGACCGTGAGTCCGATCATGCGTTTTATGTCAACATTAATAGTCATATAAATGACTGTTGACTGATCTGGCTCCGCCGACTAGGAATACTGGCAGGCGTACACAATATGTCAACTCTCCTGCAATCATACCGTAGATTTAATTTAGAATGAGATCAAATATATCAAATAGTGTTATATATGTATCGCCGTAGTAATCATGACTTTAAGCATGTTACAAAGTAGTGCCTGAATTTCAAGCGCCGTAAAATGCTTGGCAAAAAAAAAAACCGCCTTTCCTATTTTCCAAATAACAGTAATGATCACACAATACTCTCAAAATGACTACAAAGTGTGGCTATGACATCGCACCTTTTTTATTATTAGTATAATAGGAAATTATGATATAATGAGGATATGGCTGGCCTATTTAGGCGGTACTGGTGTATACACAGGTGGGCCCAGGTTTGCAGCAGCCTGTCTTTCTTCTCTGTCCTTAACGAGTACATAAAAAGCGTGAATATGACCTAAGCGTATAATAAATATTAGTAAGGTAAAAGAAAGAAAACCTTGTTCTTTACCTGGAAGATAGCCCAATATAGTCAAACACCTTAAATAGGAGTGTTAGATCAACTATTGATTTTAGTCTTTATAGGCGACTTACAGATTGATCCAAAAGTCTGCACCACATCCCCTCATAAAGAAGACGCCAAGCGGAGGGAGCAAGATGATGATGAAAATAAGACAGCAGGTTCCAAGCATTGTTTAAAGAAAAAGGGAATAAAAAGAAAGGGAAAAAAAAAAGTTTATTTATGCTTGAATTAAAAGAACAATAGCCAATCAAAATCGAGGTGGAAAGAACACTTCATACAAATTGTTCATGAATCCTTTGTCATATATGTTATCTATTTCTGTCAAACTCTCTATTTTTCTTTCTCTCGTTCGTACTCCTTGGCTATTAGTGTGCATTGTGTAATTTTTACCATTAACGCTTTTTTCTATATTTTCAATCTTGAAAAGCTCTCCTCTGTCAATAGCATCTTCTATCATTTCCCATTTAAATGCCTCGTTTGTTGTAATCCCTCTTCCAGCAAGATAGATCCTATGATAAATCATTAATATCATTCAAGTATATGTACTTGTTCTAATTACTGATAAGCAAGAAAGATAAACACGACTACAGACACTACAGCTGCCAATATACCAATGGCGCCAATGATACGATCATGTTGCAGTATGTACTATATATAAATGTTATGAGTTGCTTTTGACACAATAATTTTACTCACTAAAAATGCTTTATAAAAGCTGATGGGTGTCTTTAGATGAGTTAAAGGGTCATATATGTAAGCCTTATCCAGGCCCCATTCAATAATCATGCCTCGATAAATCTGAAAACACAAGTAGGCACCGTAGGCACAGAATTGAACAAGTGTCATTAAGAACATAAAGAAATAACGTTGATTGTTCTCTCCGACGCAACCATTAATCCAGGCACAGTGATGATCTAATCTTCCAATACACGCTTTACACATTGAACAATGTTTGGATCGAGCAGGTCTAAAGTAGCATGATTTATATATTATAGAGTCATTTTTCCTTGATCTTGACTTACTTTTGTAATTTACAAGTTGAGCAATCCTTTGGAGCATAAATCAGACGGTCGTATTTATAATAGTCTAAATGTGCCTTAATGTTCTTTGGTGTGATAATGCCTGGATTGGCTGTACAGACAATATAATAGGATACATAAAGCCAAATGATTTGAATGGGAATGATGGCACTATATTAAATAAGTAAATCAGACACGATGATTCTTTCCTTTCTTTACTTGTGAATCCAATGTAAATAAGGTCCAGGAAAGTGAGGCATAGCAAATTTCAGAAAGCACAGAATAGATGCACTTGATAATAAAACAAAAAAGATCTAAAGGGGGGATATGAGTGATCCTAATAGAATAGAATATAATATATTTACTTGTAAGAATGGATTTCTACTTTCACAGCAATAAAACCAGGCCTTATTGAATCTATCGACATTGTGTTTTCCAATAGTATGCAACATGATCCAACTATGTTCCTTTTTTCAGTCAACTGTCTATTTCATCCAAGCTATATTTTTTACATTCATATTACGTTATCATTTTAGGTATTTTCTCAGTTAATATAAAGTGTAGTTTGCCAATAGGTCCATTTCTATATATGCTGTTTAACAATAAAACTCGTGTATAATATCTTATTTACCTTAAACTTGGAGATTCCCCAAACAATAACACAAAGACAATAAAGCCAAACATGACCAAAAACAGCACAAGGTAGACGGCTAAATCCTAATGAGAAAATATGAGGTTTATTTTTATTTTTCTTTGTTACTAATTCAACATTCATCAATCACTTGCCATCTTTTCCTTTCTTTGTTATGAGAAAAAGAAGGGTTCAATTTAAAAAAAAGGGCATTTAGCTGAATTTAAAAAATAAAGAAAATCAAAGCACCATCTTGTACTTTTCTTCAGCTTGTTCAATAAATGTCAGAATAAAGGCTATCAATCTCTTTAAAGAGTTATAATCTTTGCCTAAGATATCATCTGGCTTCCAACTAGCAGCTTTTGCTACACCAAGGTTCTTGTTGATATCAAAGAAATCACTGTGCGATGCATCATAGATTTCTGTCTCAAACCAATGATTATCCGGGCTTATTTCTGCAATGATCTGCTTTCGAGGTTGATACTCATTCATCGGTGCTTCTCTCGTCGCGAGCTTTTCAACTCGAGTGACTTCAATGACATAGTTTTGAATCCTGTACTGTGTTGTTTCTTTCAACAAAACCTTCTTGACGCGTAAGAAATCAGGAACATCTTCATAAATCAAGGCGCCCGTCGTGGGATTCATTGCGACTTTCTTTACAAATGTCTTGATCGGTTTGACGTCTCTACGTATATGGTCTTGAACCTTCAGACTGAGCTGAAAGTCTAGCTTTCGGTCAAGACACATCCAATCGATCTCAGTAACTACCTTTTGAGAATAAATCACCTTCTGTGCTTCAATAATGGCGTCTTTCATTTGAATGATGATCGGTTGATACGGTATTCCCTTTTGATTCCTTGAAAGACAATAAAACTCATGATATCTTCTTGGTTTGGTGGGAGTAGGTAAGATATCTAAGAGTCCATTCATCGTGTTGTTATCTGACGTGATCACATCATTAAAATATGGCTGGATACCATGTACCAACATCAAGATATCACGTAAATCATGAAACTTCCATAGAGTGCTAGATACCTTCTTTTCTACATTTGTCCACAACATTTTACCAATTTTGGCTGACAACAAAACTTCACCCTTGTGGCCTCTGGCTGCCTCTAGACCCTTTTCTAGTCCACATCTGATGTTGTCAAAGTTGTAGCTTTTCGCCATCTGCAATTGACTAAAGGGTCGACTAGAGCCAACTGATGTGGGTGCCCTTTGAAGTGGTATTTGTAAAACTTGGTGTATGCTGGGATTGTTATGGGACAGAGTAGGTTTGTATGAGTGATTACAAGAACTGCCTGAGTTACTGCTCATACTACTTCTTCTTGAGGATGATACATGAGCGGTTGAGTCGATGTGTGTCAAGGGCTTCACATGGGCTGATTGTTCTGGTAGATAAGAGGGTATAGCATGTCCTGGTATAGGTATAGGTGTAGAAGGCATAGAAGATGAGTCATATCCGGGTGATAATAATGATGATAATGATGATGTCAGAGAAGGAGCTGGTGAGATATTTATTCTATTGGGAATGTCTCGTTTTCGTTGAATCATATCCCTGGGTGGACCAGAGAATACGGGCAAGATGATGTAAAGCGAACGGCGATCGACATGATCCGAGAATGTGATGAGTGATTTATACCTGTAACTCTTTAGTCTGCATAAGAACAGCTGGTAAGAATCTGATTCGCATGAATAATGAAGACATGGAACAGTCATGGGCTTCATATAACACCCAATCTATCAAATAACAATCAGTCAAACAATCAGTCAGACGAATGTTGCATAATATCAATTAACATACATAGGTCGTCTGAAGCCTTTCAAATCGACTGAGAGCATCATTGACTGATTCTTCATTATATCCTTCAATCATGATCCTTCTTCCGACCAGAGTACATATTGTCAATGTCGCATCACTGATCAAACTCAAATATTTTGCATTTTGCATATTATGCTGAGGTGGACCAGTTAAAAGGCTTTCAACATTATCTACCTTATTGGATATCTCAAACACTGCTACAACCATATCATCATTTTTGTTCATTTGCTTTGGAATAGGATAGTCTGGCTCATGAGCGTCCGGCGCTGCTTCGACTGGCCTACCCACAATGACAGGTTTTTGTTTGGATATTCTTGGAGGCAAGAGTGCTTGATTATTTGAAAAATCAAAGGAACTCAAATAGGTTCCATCCATGTAGTTGCCATCAATTCCTTCATGCTATCATTGAGATCATAAGCTCTCTTCCCTCCATTTCTTTCTTTCTCCTTACTAGTCTTGGTAATAGCTGACATAGTATCCACTCCTCTCTATTTTATACAAGATGTACTGGTTAGGCTTGTGTCATACAAGTAATGAAGCCTTAAATTTACATTTTACGAATATCCTGTTCACTCCCTCCTTTCAATTCAAAATACTGCTTGATTGCTTTAGGAATATGGTATGTACACATATAATAAAGTCATTTCTTTAAAAAAAAAAAAGACCTTACTTGTTCAGCAAAATTGAAAGCTATCTTGATACCTGTCTTGCTTTCCATTTTGCTAAATAAACTCAATAAAAGCACCATAGAGCATAATGTATTCTTACAGTAAATGATGTTTAAACCTGTCATAGAGACCATGTGTTATATATGCAGCCGAATAAATGTATGTACAGACTATGTACGTGTTAATATATAAAACCATATTATACCGAAAAATAAACTTACAGTTCATAAACAAGGAAAGAAAAAAAGAAGCCCGATCATAATTGACTCTTCTCATTCTTATTTGTAATTCCGCCTCTTTCTTTCTTTCTTTTTATTGTTTATTGGGAAATGCCTTATCTGGCTGCAAAGCTACTCTATGTTTTTCTATTTGCTTGCCAAGGTTCAGCTCCTGTCTATCTATCCTTATTCTACTCTTCTCAGTTGGGATTAAAAAGTAGTCAGATCGGTTTACTCGTAGCTATTGGTATATCTATATATAAAAAAGAAACCAAAAACAGCTGTTTATTCTTTATATGTATAGCACCTTTCATATCAGCCATCGCTTGTCCGTTATGGACGACTATTGCAGACAAGACAAAGACTCACCGCTACATCATGTGTATTGTTCATACCTTGGCCACCTTGGCTATTGTCAGTGTGATGGGCATACCTGTCGTGATTCAGTCTATAGATGACGCAAAAGAAAAAGGACGATTGACTGTGACCTTGGTGACGATCACCTCAATATGCTTTGCATTCTTTGGCGTACCCGTCGGCCCTTTAGTCGACGGAGGTGTATTGAAGATATTGGGGAGGCATAAGGATCAATATGGCCGACAACGCATGTTTGGATCCATTTCTTTTGGTGTGGCCTCGTCTCTGGTAGGATTTATTACCGAATGGACAAGTGATATGAACGCGATATTCTATATTTATGCATTATCAGCCATTTGTTTCATCTTGGTCGCAGGAAACACTCAATTCAAGTCAGAGCGATCACCCCGTCCTTATTATTATCGTACATCGTCATCGTCTTCAAAGGTTCCTACAGCAGCAACATCATCTGCGAGACCCAAAATGACAAGAAGTGATAGTGTAAAGTCATTTGAAGTGGACCCATATGATGAAGTAGGTATCGACCTGGATTCATCACAGATTCGACAGAATGAAATACAACGATTGATCCAGTTTGCTACCGAGTCGAGTATCATTGAAGCCGTCAATTTGTCCAATCCACCATCCCATAGACTGAATGCAAGACCATCTCACTATAATGAACCATCCAATATGATTGAACTCTTGAAACGATCTGAAGTATCATTGTTTTATTTAACCATGATGCTGATGGGTGCATCATTAAATATGGTTACAAGCTTTCTGTTTATTTACTTGAAGCAGGAATTGGGAGCAAGTTCATCACAGATCGGTTTAACCGGATTGATTGGATCATCCACCGAACTGATCTTTTTCTTTTATTCTAGAGATGTAAGTGATTCAGTTTTTTCAAGAGGGTATGTACTTATCATGTTGTTTAGCTTATTCGCTTGTTTGGTATCAAGAGTTTAATCATTCTAGGGCATGTATTAACCGTCATACGTATATTCACATATACCATTCTTCCAAGAACACCCACAGGTGCAAGTGCTGCCATTGGACTTCACTTGTTAAATGGTATCGCATTTTCTGCGTTATGGGGTGCAGGCGTCGTTCAAGCAGATGAATTGGCGCCTCCTTCATTACAGGCAACATCACAAGGTAAAGACAGAAAGAAAGAAAAAGTGATGGCGATAGTAATGCTTGTGTAAAAATAGGTCTTTTAGCTGCCATGTATGCAGGTGTTGGTGCTGGATTGGGAAGTCTAGTGGGAGGAACGATTTATGGGAAATTTGGATGCAATGCCATGTTTTATACAGTCATCAGCTTGACATTGACTAGTTTAGAATTATATTTAGAAACCAATACACGATGTGGTATCAGTGATATGGCTCGTTGGCTATACAAAACATCCATCGACATCTATAAATGGATTCAGCAGTTGAGAGGCATTGGACAAGCAGTGCCCAGATGGAGTGGTACAGGAAGGATTCGTTTAAACGAAGATTGATTTTTGTTATTTACCCTTTAGAGAAAAACTTTGTGTAGATATCTTTATTAAACGTATACCAAATTGTGTAAATAGAGTTAACAGTTTTCTTTTGCTTTAAGGTGATTTATACAATAGGACATGACCAGCATTATCAAAAGCAACAACAACATTTGTCAAAGGATGATGAACCATACCCAGCACTTCAGCATCACCCACCTTGACTTGTCCCGCTGATGCACCAGTAGTAAACTGAAAGCAATACATGAACGAGTCTTCTGAAATACCATAGATATAGTCTCCTTGTGGTGATACGGCTGCGGTGATAAAATCAGAGCCTGCTTTCTTGTTATGGCTAAATGTCTTGATGATCTGACCCTTTGTTGACATGACAAAGAGTGTGTTTGTCTTGTTACAGACAAGATAAAGATTTGGATTTTTGGGAAGTGGAATGATGGCCTGTACTGATGCATTGCCCAGCCCACCCATTGGATTCAGTTCGTCTTTTTCAACCTTTGCATGAGGAGCGATGGTATGTAGGCATGAGGTGGTTTTAGCATCCCATATCTATTTAAAACTGTAAGTTACTGCTTTTCTTTTTGAATGGGCATATTACCTTTACTGTACCGTCACTGCTCGCACTTAGGACGAGAGCACCATCAGCCGAGAACAAGACAGAGTTGATAAAGGATGTATGTCCCCTAAACTCCTTTAACACCTTTCCAGATTTTAATCCATGTATCCGGACCACGTGATCTTGACTACCGCTCAGTAGTTGTGTATTGTCCTTGTTAAAGCAAAGTGTCGTGATCGCTTCAGAATGACCAGTCGCTATCCTTTTCTCGCACTGACCTGTCTTTACTCTCCAAATCCATATCTTCCCGTCCAACGAACCAGATGCCAACACTTGATTATCTGAGCTGAATCGAACACAGAGAACTGCTTTATCCATGGCCATTAAACGATCGTTGGCCTGGTACGGAAGGTCCTTTCTCAGCTTGCCTGTCAGATAATTCCAAATTTCAATAAACCCATCGGATGAGCCAGTGGCCAGGTAGAGCCCGTTTCGTGAGAAGGCGGCGCATTCAGCATTTGTCTTTTTGCCAGGAAATTTGATAGATACATAGTGCTGGTTGGCAAATAAGTCCTGCTCTGCCTTTTGCATATCGGCTGTTCCTTTAAACAGATTATAGGATACACCGGGCGAGAGAACACCTTGCTGCTGTTGCCACTTTAAACTTTGTCCTAGTAAGGTCAGCAGTCGGCTACTAGGTAAACTGGCAATCTCTTGGTCGAGCTCTAAATAGATTGATATAAGAAACGGCATGCATATATAAATAAATACAATTCATGTACTATCTGCAATGGTTTTTCTCTTTTGTTCAGTCGCATACTTGTAACCACTTGTTGGTCGCTCCTCAAAATAGTTTTCAATAGCTTGATATCTTTCAGGAAATTCTTCCAGCATCATTCTCAACACGTTGGATGTTCTCAATATGACTCGAGCAGTGCTTATTTCATTTCTTTCTATCAACTCAAACATCATCTATAGACTTTATAAGATGGGAATCATAAAACACTCTCTATTTCTTTTCTCTACCTGCTCATAGATATCAAATAACCTTTCCTTTCCAAGAGATAGTTTAGACACATTCTTTAAAACAATATCCCATCGTCCATCCAATACATCTTGTATGAACTGAGCCTTATTATCCATGGTATTTAATGTCTGACGTGATTCCTTTTCGAGAGTCTTTAATGAATCAGTCAAGTTATTTTCTCGAAAGAACTGGATGATCAACTTGACTACACTGTATTTTGTTGGTTAATGGTATTGAAAAGTAGGTTAATCATGATATTTACTCTTGCTGGTTAATCTCATTATTGGTTGACATTATTGACTATTGCACGCAAGGAAAAAAAAAAAAAAAAAAAGAGGTTTCTTTTTCGTTTACACTTTACACGCACGCGACAGACCTACAAAAAATTTTCTCCTTCTCTCTCTCTTTTTCTTTTTATTATTATTAATGATCATCAAGGTTCAACTCGACAGTGAAATTGCTGAACATATTGTAAATAAAGTCACTCCAGACACCTTAAAGCAAGAAGAGAAACTTGCATTAAAACATAAAGGATATACCCGAAGATCGAAATCAGTACGCTTTATTGATGCAGGATTGACAGTGAGCAAAGATCAGACAGACAACCCGATGGATACAGATCATGGTGAAGATATGAGTGAAGGTCTGTCTCATCATAAAATAGTGCATGAAGAAGAAGACGAAGAAGATAAGGATGTGAGCGGAAGATCGATGTTTGGATTTCAATCGAAACGAAAAAGAGCATCCTCCATGATGCAAAAGGCAGCAGAGGTTCAAAATGAGTCTCAGACACCTGTAGAAGAAAACAAAGAGGAGACAAGTTCACGGAAATCGGGCAGACGAGTAAAGCCGACGATGAAACGAAAGCAACTAGAGGAAGAATACAGCGCAAGCACAAAATCAGATTTTTCGAAAAAGCGTAGGATTCAGAGACAGCTAGAACTGCTAAAAGACGACCAAAAGAGCTCGGATGAAGGTCAATCGTCATCAGACGAAGAAGAGGACGAAGAAGTAAAGAGTAAAGAGCGTGGCGGTGATACAACGGAGGGATACGAAAGGTACTTTTTGGACCTTCACGGCAAGGCACAGACATCCAACAACACATTATCCAAGCTACAAGTACTCGAACCACACGAATTTCATTTGATATTACAAAAGACACAAAAGAAGCATCGATCAGAGATGCATACTTTATTTGAAATGCAAAAGCAGCATTTTTCACAATGGTACTTTGAGCTTCACTCTGGATTTAACCTTATTTTCTATGGTTACGGCTCAAAACGAAACCTCTTGAACGAGTTTGCACAAACAGCATTAACAAATGGGCCTCTAGTCGTCATCAACGGCTTCTTTCCCTCCATCTCTATCAAAGATATCTTACTTAAAATCACAGCAGGTGCATTAGGAGTACAGGTACCAACAGGACAAATACAAGATCATGTCGCGTATATTTGCAACTATTTCTCTCGAGAGGACCGAGAATACGACAGTCTTTACATCGTCATTCATAATCTGGATGGACCTAACCTTCGTAATGAACGAACGCAAACAGCCCTTTCTATGCTTGCCAGTGCAAACAATATACATCTTGTTGTGTCTGTGGATCATATCAATGCAGGTCTTTTATGGGATAATGTTAAATCAAGTCGGTTTAATTGGATATGGCATGACGCCACTACGTTTGATGATTATCTAGTAGAGACTAGTTTTGAGAATTCACTATTGATTCGATCAAGTGAACTAGGTGGTGCACGCGGTGCCAAATACGTGCTAGATTCATTAACAACAAACGCTCGTGGAGTGTTCAAGATATTGGCAGAGCATCAGTTAATGGAGATGGAAATTGCCAATATGGACGGTAAAGGAAATGAATCGGTTGGTCTTAGCTATGGACAATATTATCAAAAGTGTCGAGAAGGATTCTTTGTATCAAGTGATCTAGCCTTACGCACAGAGCTGACAGAGTTTAGAGATCATAAATTGATCTCTAGTAAAAAGGCAATGGATGGTACAGAACTATTTTTTATACCACTAGACAAGTCTACGTTGCTGCATATCTTGGAACAGATGTAGAGAGGATGAATGCAATCATGCGCATTATTGTACTATAGCCCCTTAAATTAGATATTTGCTGTAATATACTTAAAAAGAGAATACATTTTTATTTCTACATGACAATACTACTACTTCCAATTGTTGGAAAATAAATGGGGGTGATAATGAATGGGAAATATATATGTAAAAGAGCATATGATTCTTGATGAGTTCTACAAAGCCAGCTTTGTAGTACACATTATTTACACAATTTAAGGATAGTAATCAGCAAACAAGGTATGACTTTGAAGTATAATGAACTCAATTGTATCTATCATCTCATGTGTCTGTCTTTCCTTGTTTTCAGTCACATCATCATTGAGTCTCATCAGAGTTGGACCAAAAACAACAGCAAGGTTCTTTGAATTCATACGATTGACAGACTGATGGTCATGTATCCTATAAGATAATAGTTGAGATCGACCGTAAGTAATTTTACATGACTAACCTTCTCAGGTGTTGTGCAATATATTTGGTGGTGCAATATATTTCGTTTGGCAAATCATGAAGTAAAGAATAAGTCTTGTTTAATCGTTCCTGAGGGCTGATTGTACAAGACACTACAAAATATAATGAGTCAAAGGTATAAAATAAACCATTGAAACTTACAGATCACTTTGCTAGGTATCAATGGCACAGGTAAACTACGCAGGTATAGTTTTAATAAGCTAGCGACAACAGCGATGTCACATTCAGACAAGTCAACGTCTTGACTTGTTTCAATCATATCCTGTAAATCCTTGACTTGTTGAAGCGAACCAGATTTACGATAAATGCCTTCTACAGTCAAGCCTCGTAATTCTATTTCTTGTACACATTTTGTAACAATCAAGGGAATACGTGAGCCTTCAATTTTCACTTGTTCAGCCAAGTCTTTGCCAAACAATGAGTCTAGAACACACATATAAATGTAAGCTCTCTTTCTCTCCGACAATTAATTATTTATGATATTTACTCCTTTCTCTTGTTTCTTCTGTGGTCATCTCATTTTGGACAACCATGGCAGGATGCAACACTGGCTCCGATACATGATTTCCCTTGGCATCATCTGCTTCAGGCTGTGATACCTCCTTTGCTGAGTCATCCTGTCTTCTTCTTCTCGTTGATAATCGTAGACTCAATTGACGAAACAGGCTTGGTTCTCTTTTTAATTTTATTTCTGACTTGTTAGTACTTGATTGTTTATGGTAACTGTCACTTATGGACGTATTGGATGAATGGATAGAAGGAGCCGGAGGATCTTCTAGAGTGACACCAAGGACAGCATGATCCTGTTGATTGTACATGAACGCCGTTACCTTATTCTCCTTTTCTGCAATCAGCCGAGAAAGCTGTTCGTTCTTAAGCGACAGTTCTGTAGATCTTTCTGTCAATCGAATGACTTGTTTTAACAAGTCATCACGAATATCAGTCAATTGACTGTTCTCCAAGGACCTTTGTTCGATTTGTTTTTGTAATTGACTCAAATGAGACACGTAATAGGATTCAATCAACTCCCAGTGATCTGTTATACCAGTCATTTTTGTATTTCTTTGTATTTCATTAGGATGGTCCGGCTCCTCTATTCTATTTATGGTAAACAAATGATTAATATAGTTTAATTTGAAGAGGGCTTATTTACTGATTATAAGAAGAGATAGTGTGTCGTTTATTTGCTTCTGTATTCAATAGAAGCTATAAAGTATGTGAATTTATGCAAGCATGTAACTGATGTTTCATATATACTTTGTAAGGTTTATCATAAATCATTAAATTAATTAAAGAAAAAGAGAGAAAAAAAGGGAAAAAGAGAGAGAAAAAGGCAACTTAATTATAGTAATCAGTGTCCGAGAACTTTGCCCCCGACGACTCTCTAAGCTTCATTTACCAAAAAAAAAGTTGTGTATGTGTTTCAATTTTGCTCAAAGACGAAATTAATATGAAACAATGCATAGATTATTGATTTATATTTCAGGACAAAAATTCAGCTTCAAAGTTCAAGTATCCCCCGTTTGGACTCGAATAATGAGTTCAAAAATAAAGAGTTGATTTCTTGAATACAAAGAGAGAGAGGGTATCGTGAAAACAAGGCCATTGGATAGTTTAAAGGCTGACTGCTTCGATGAAAATGGATCGACGCGGTTGTTGTAGGATAAAGAGATACCAGAAACGGCTCAGTAATTGTATCTGGTTGGCTGTTCCCTATCCACCATTCACTCAGGGTTTCTCTCAGTCATGTAATCTGGGACTTTTGTAAAAGTCATTGACTTTTGTTTATATTTATACTCTTCATTAGTCTGGTGCTTGTCGTCTTTGGGATAATCAATGTTTTCGTCATTGACAAGATACTATTTTTAGAAAACCAGTCCAGGAACAAACTATTGCCCGAAACCAATTTGCTAGAGTTTTACTCGGCTCGGACGAATTGTAAGAATAAGAAAATCATTTCATGACACATGAAATATTCTACTTGTGTATATAAACTGACGTCGTTTTTTCTTTTTGTTATCATAAAGAATAGTCTTTTTATTAGAGACAATGCAATATTTGAAAGAGAGCACTCGTATAATTATCTCAGCATATTAACATATATTGTCTCATTCTCTCTCTCTTTCTTTCTTGGCCATTCGAAAGCAGTAATTCGGAGTATGAAAAGAAGAAATGTCTAGTCAGCAAAAATGACAAAGCTGGTCTTTTGTTGGTTGCCATTCATCACCACCAAAAAAGTCAATTATTTCTTACGCGGCCCTTCATCAGACCGAAAAATCAGAAAATATATTTAATGCAAGTCCTCTTTTTTATTTTATTTTTTTCTTTACTAAAAAACAAAAATGACTACTTTATACGACTTTACAGTTAAGAACATCAAGGGCGAAGCCTGGAACTTAGCCGATCTTAAGGGAAAGGTAAAGCAGAACTAGAGTTGGTAAAAGAAATCAATGACTAATAACATATAAGGTTGTCTTGGTTGTCAATGTTGCCTCCAAGTGTGGATTCACCAAGCAATATGCTGGTTTGGAAGAACTCTATCAAAAGTATAAAGATAGAGACTTTGTTATCGTCGGATGTCCTTGTAACCAATTTGGTGGTCAAGAACCTGGTTCAGAAGAAGAGATTCAAAACTTTTGTTCTCTTAACTGGAGTGTCACTTTTCCTTTGACCTCCAAAGTGTAAGTTGACAAAAATTTATCAAGATGAAATACTGATTGTTTCATAGTGAGGTTAATGGAGATAACGAAGCTCCCTTGTGGAAATGGATGAAAGAATCTCAACCTGGTATCTTGGGGTAAGTAAAAGTGTTTGTACGTCATGAGTAATGTGTGAGCTGATATCATTTTCCCTTTTTATTAGTTTGAAGCGCGTCAAGTGGAATTTTGAGGTAACATTTGTTTATAAATCATAAAGTGAAACTTGTAACTGATCCAACTTTGTTTAGAAATTTTTGATTGATCGTGAAGGAAAGGTTGTTAAGCGTTATGCTTCCACCACTGAACCAAAATCTATTGCCGAAGAAGTCGAAAAGCACTTGTAATCATATCATCTTTACTGCATTAAAAAAAAAACATTTACTTTATTTAATAAAAACAAGTGGCTATCACACACTTCTTTTCATAGTCCCTTCAAGCATAAGAGCTTCTCTTGCCTTTCGGAAAGCAAGATCAAAGTTTGTTGGTAAATGATCGGTCAAGATTGATTTCTTAATAACGACTTCCTCTGAGACGTTCATTGCAGTTGTCTTTTCTATAGTGATACGGTCTTGATTACTTGGTGTAGGGTCCTATCGTGCTGATTAGATAGATTACGCGATGACTATGAGGGAGCTTACATTCCAAAATTGGTATATTTGTCCTGCAACATATAGCTATAACAGCTTGATTATTTATGAACTGCAGTGGTTTTTAATGCAGTAGCTTACTCGTGGGTTATCCTGTTGATTCATCAGCCTCTTTCGAACTTCTGAAACACGATCGGAAATGCATTTCCATCTTTCGCCCTCGAGCTTGTTATTTCCTAGAATGATATCAGATATTCCTACCGTGTTCTTTGCTGCTTCTGCGCTGGCTATGACTAACTCCTTGACATCCATCATTGAACCGTAGCTTAATTTGCTAACAATGTCTTCTGCAAATACAAAGGATTGAACAACGTCCTATGAACTAGAATTAAGAAATCATAAGCAATTTAAAGAAGGGATGAATACTTTATGCTTTTCTGCCAAATCTAAACTCAATCCACATGCTGGAGCATAACCAAAGCATTTTATATTAAAATCCTTTCCGTCTGGAAACGTATCCAAACATTCCATAAGCATATCTGTAAGAATTGCAGCTGTTGCTGCGCCTAGGCTATGTCCTACAATGACAAGGCCAGTAGCATTGTTCTCGTGTATAAATGTTCGCAGTAATGGTAAAACATATTGGTAAAACCAGACGGCTGATTGCTGTCAAAAATGTATTTAATCCCCCTCGCAGAAATGTGCCTCAAGCAGTACTTACTTTCATTCCACTATGCACGTATCCACCCTTCCATGGCTCATATTCGCAAACCAAGTCAGTCAAGGTGTCCATGATACTCTAGTCAATGTTAATATAAAAGAAGGAAATGGCTGCTACCCCACCATTGTTCCACGAATTGATAAAACGATAGAATTTGTAAATCTATCTCTTGCGATGAAATAACTTGGTCGAAACGCCTCAGATGATCTAAATTCATAAGCAAGCAGGTCTTCTTTAGGTATAATCAGATATTCAACGATTGACCTTGCATCGGAATGCTCTCTAATAGCGTCTGATAATATACCATTGCCTTTACCCATAAAGTTGAGTCCTTTCCAACCGTAAGAAGCAATTGAAAATTTCCAGAACCTTGCAGCTGTTTCGATTTCGGATAAATCCCGGACGATATCCCAGCTTCTTTGTCGCGGAAGATCAGTAAAGAATTTCTCCAAGAGAGAAAGGCCCGTTACTACTTGCATATGCGTCAACTCAAATCCTTGTCCCTTTTGTTAATTACAAAAAGATGTCATTTAATATTTGTATATATCTTTCTTTTATTGTATTTACAAAGGCTGCCATAAGCTTTCCAATCATCTTAGTGACTGTATCTTTTCCTTTAACCTCCATACTTTCTTCTGAAGTACTATCAAAATCACCATTCACATTGTCTGAAGGAGCCGAAACCATTTCGCCAAATTCATCGTCTTCTTCTTCTTCTTCATTATCACTCGCTTTATAATCATCATCAGTAGCTAAGGGCTGTATCAGATCCTCTTCTCCAGACTCGCTATGCAAATTAACAATCCGCTCCTTAATCTGAATGGCTTCTTTTCTTTTTTTCTGGCGTTCACGATTGAACTGCATATGTCGTTTCGCTTCGGCTACGATCTGTTCCTGCATGACCAAGTTTGTAGCGACGACCGATTCAGCTGCTGGTAACTGCACCATGTCGTCCTTGCTATTTTCGAGACTCACAAACTGATAATTGATCTGCGCATGAATCGCACCGATACTATTCACTCTTGTCCTCTCACGGCCAATACTAGAGCTTGCTCCTGATGAGAGTGTTCTGTCCCATATCTCATAGTAATTCGTAAATGAGAGCGGCATGTGCTTGAGTAAGCCTAATCGAATCTCTGTCCTTCCTAAATGTTTATCTGTAGAATAGAATGTTCCCGTGTCAAAGAGATCAAGCTGCATTGTACCAAACAGTTGCGTGTGGAAGGTAACTTGAAAGTCAAATGTTGTCTTGTTTTTACATTCTTCCAAATTTGATTGATAACATTGATCTAGAGTGTACATTTTGAGTATTTATTATTATTTCTTTAGATTGTCGTCTACCTCCTAATGTCAAAACGATATAGGGCTTTTTTACTTTGACATTAAACAGGCAATCAAGTATTTTAATCTAAATCATTCAGTCATACTCTCTCTTTCTTTCTTTGTCTTTTCTTCACAGTTAAAGACATGCCTTACGTTTACAAAGCCTATTGTTGGAGATCGTCGCGTATTGTCATTCTTTTTCATTCTTTCCTTTTTGCAAAAAAAAAAAAAATACGCAGAGTATTTATGTTCACTGATAAAAGAATGATAATTTCAGACAACAAAAAATAATAAAAGAGATAACCAATAATGATAAAAGAGAACCCACAAAAAGTAAAAGAATGGATAAAGAAATGATCAGTACATCAGTTATTACATGGATATTAAATACTTACATTATAAAGAAGAGAAAGGGAGAGGCAAAAAGTGAGTAAAATTATAAAGAGATTATTACTATCTTACCCAAAGTGCATTAAATAGGGCTAGCGATAACCAGCCCAGAGAAAGAAAGGAAAAGAGAGAGAGCAAGAGAGAGTGGCCAAAGGAGCGGAAGGGGTGAAGGAGTGTATGGGGCCAAAGTTTGGTTGTTACCAAACTATTCCCAACTAGAACCGGGTTAGTTTTGACTTTATGATCTATAATACTAGTGAAAATAAAGGCAAACACTTGGCGCGCTCAAAAATGCACTCAAAAATAGACTAGTGCTACAGGTGCTTCTTTGGAGCGCTACATGTAGAGACACTGTACAACTTTACATCACTAAAGTCTCTGCCTAACCTAAAGCTGTCTAGTTCATTCTGTCTGGTACAAAGTACGAATTTATAATTACACATTATTAATCTTGGTTCTTTGCTGATCAAACTGACAACACAAACTTAAAGTGCATCAGTAACAACATTTCTTTTTTATCTCTTTCTTCTTGAAAGAAACAATCCAAGATGATAACATTTAAAGTCATGTTTAGCTTGATGCTACACGTTGAATAGTTTTGTTGGACTTCATCATAGGCAGTGAATAGAGGTAGCACGCATAGTGTTAGTCTAACTCCTGAGTGCACCAAGTGTTTGCCAAAATAAAGGTATTGCAGGCATTATCGAGTCGTCTGGCTCAGAATCAAATGTCGCCCATTCAGTTAAAGATTCTATCAAACAAATAAAGAATTCCACGAATGAAGAAAATTTTAACGCTATTTCGTTTAAGATTTGTGAAAGATAAATACAGTCAAACCATGATTTACCGATACATTTGGGATATGGGTATACCTACCAATAAATAGAAGTATACCGGTATTAATATAGTTGTTATAATATAAAAGTAGTAATAGACAATAAGATACAGTAAGACTGAATTAATCCTTTTTATTGATAAAGAGTGGTTCTTATTTATACTATTCAAGCTTACTGTGGAATTATAGTTGACGTGGGTCTAACTGTCGTTATGGAGCAGAGTAGCTTAATTAAGGGTTTCATAGTTTTTACTACTGTGAGGTCTGAATCAAGAAATGATGCTATGTACTAGTAAGTGTTATTGTAAGGATAATTTCCTTAGTTTCAATAAGCGTGAATTATGTTCGAATATGACACTAGTAACCACTCTCAGGACGATAATAGCGGTAAACCGAGGTTTGACTGTGATAATTAACATTTCTGCTGATGGTCAAAGCTTTCTACTAGTTACCAAGTATTGTTATTTGTTCTTAGAACAATCTCAGTTGCCTGCGCTCTGGCTTCCAATGTGGCAAATGCGCTTTATTTTCATATGTACATACTAATAAACTTTCAAACTCCCTTTTCCTTTATATCTTTCAAAACCGCTATTAGAAAGAAATAAGTATATAAACTTGGAAATTTTTATTATTGTATTACTGAAAATAAAGTGTAGCTTGGAAAGCCTATTGCCATATCCTCAGTCTCCTCTACGTTAACTTGAGAATTTCGTATGATGCGGTTAGTGCCACCCGACCTTAAATTGGGCTGAGCACAAATTGTGCTCTGCCGCAGACTAAAAAACGCATGTGTGTGCTTTCATAACCTTTTTTTTTTTTTTTTTCCTTTCTTTATAAATTAGAGAATGCAGAATTATAGCAATAACAACGCCCCTTATCCAGGCTATGGACAACAACAACAACATGGAGGAATAGCTGGATTTGCTGAGAACTTGACTTCCAGCTTTAGCCAACTTAACGTCAAAGATCAATGGAATCATCTTTCATCTCATGTGCCCCACCTTCCTCATCTATCACATGGTGGCGAGAGGCCTGGAGAGGTTGTTTGTGGTCCTTTGCTTCGATATATTGGCATCAATTACACAACTCGCCAGTGGCAAGGATCTATTCTAGTCGTCTCTAGCGACCACCACCCGCCTCCGATTGATATTCAAGTGACTGAACCAACAACACAACGTAAGCAGACGATTAAGCCTCGAGCAGAATGCCTGGACGTGTTCCGCAACAAGTTTCGTTTTTGGAGATACGACGTTCGTATTCAGTTGACAGATAATGATCAAATCGCCACCTATTCCACACCTTACAATAACTGGGCTAGCCCTTACTTCCAATTCCATATGCCCTCATTTTATCAATCCATGCGATTCATGTTTTATTCATGTAACGGATTCTCCGATATTCCACAAGAGATCAAGGACAAATTTGGTGAGAAAGAAGCACCCCTCTGGCAGGATGTTCTCGATAGACATGAAGTCATGCCATTTCATGTTTTACTCGGTGGTGGCGATCAACTCTATCAGGATAGACTCATCAAGGAAGATTTCATGAAACCATGGGTGGAAGAGAAAGTGCCTGCGAAGCGTCTGGCAATGAAGTTGAGTCATGAAATGAAGGACGGATTTGAAGATTTCTATTTCTGGAATTACTGTAAAAACTTCGGGTAATAGGATGACATACACACAGAGGACAATGGGGTAGAGATTCATCCATGAAATGATAGGTTCAAAGACAACCCTGTTGTGGCCAAGGCATTTGCTACTATTCCTTCAATGAACATGTGGGATGATCATGTAATGTAACCATTAAAAAAAAGAGTAGAGCATATGCTCATATCGATCTAGGATATCATTGATGGCTATGGTTCATATCCTGCTGATATGCAACGTGCAGAATGTTTTCAAGGTATGAAATAAACAAACATATGCGATAGTAAACTAACTTTCTTTACAAGTCTTATTTGCTAATGCATGCAGATTTTATTACTTATTTCAACAGCATACAACAGTGGAATTAGCCCCTCAACATGGGATGGTACGAGGCACACTTGACACATGCAACCACATTATTTCTACTCTTGGTCCAGATATTGGATTTATTGCATTGGACTGTAGAGGAGAAAGAACAAAGCACGATGTCTGTAAACCATCTACGTACGACAGCGTCTTTGAGCACCTACGCTCTATGATGCCATCGACAATAAAACATCTCTTGATTCTGACGGGTGTGCCCATCATTTACCCTCGTCTCACTTTATTTGAAAACCTCATGGATGGAGCAGCAGGATTTAATCTGGCTACTATCGCCGGCAAGACTGGAGCACTGGGAAATATGATCTCTGGTCAGCTAAATAAATGGAATGGCGATCCAGAATTATTAGACGACATGAATGACCGTAAGTAGCATATTCTATTGGATAACAGAGATCATTAAAGCATTCATTAGATTGGACTGCTTCAAATCATGAAGTTGAAAGAAAGAAGTTTATTGAGCGACTTCAGCAATATGCCCGTGAAAGATCTGTTCGAGTTTCATTCTTGGGAGGCGATGTAAGCATATAGTCTGTGTGTCGAAACCCATTACTTAACTCTTTCGTAGGTTCACTGCTGTGGTGCTGGAAAGCTGTATTCTAAAGATATGAAGGATAAAGAAGAAGGTGACCCATTCTTGATGGTACAAATCATTTCTAGTGCCATCGTCAACGTTCCTCCTCCTCAAGCACTCTTGACTGTTTTGAACCAAAATTCAACTTATATCACGTTCAATGGTAACGTTGAAGAAAGAATGTATAATCTATTTAAACGCTCACCAAACGGCAATACGGTAAGAAAAATACTGGATGGTTGCCACTATTTGCTAATCAAACACATCACAGAGACAAAACAAGAAACTGATGGGTATGAGAAATTACTGTGCAGGATACTTTGATGAGAAAACAGGAAAGATAAATTTCTGGATACAAGCAGAAAAGGCAGTAGGAGTGAAAGGAACGATGGGATATCTTGTTGATGTACCACGACTTTTGTTTGGTCAAGCAGGGTATCATCTCTATCATCAAAATAAGAGACAGCTGCTATCAGAGTATAGTCAGTCTGGAGAAGAACATCGTCAGCATTTTCATCTTCCCAATCCCTTGGATCGTTTATCGAATGCTTTTGAGCAGCACTTGTCTATGCCAGAAGCTAGCAATTATTAACTAGAATACTAATGAATAAAAAATAATGTATTTTTTGTGAAAGAAAAACGATGAGAGTTGCGAAGCAATTTTGGATTTTTTATTGATTTAATATTTGTTGGGTCCACCACGAGCCTTAAAGACGTCCTTGACCTTCTTTTGGCATAGTATCAATTAATTTGTTGATCGCCTCCGGGTTAATTTCCCTCCAAATACTCTTCAAAGCGACTTCCATGGCTTGCTGGGTTTTAGCATGAGGGTATAGAGCGTTAACCCACTTCTTCATCATGCTCCAAAGATTTTCAATCGGATACAAATCCGGCGATTGTGCTGGACAGGACACCTTGTTTATCCCTTTGCCTCCCTCCATCTAGTAGTACTGGATCATAGGCCTGGTTTATGAAGTCGGCACTTCTCTTCATTCCTTTCTTCATAAAAACAAGTTTCGACTTCATTCCACCATCTATGGCACCCCAAACCACGATTGAAGTTCTGCCGTTTTTGAAGGCTGACGCCAGGCACCCTTTCTTGAACTTTTCCAAAGTATTACGCTATACCCCGGGCTTTGAGGAGAACTTGCCGATTTCAAAGCTCGACTCGTCTGTCCAGATCACCTTTCTCCAGTCATCTGCTATCCAATGCTCATGTTTTTTTTTTGGCAAAATCATATCTTGCCTCTTTTTTTTTTGTAGGGGCATGAAAGCCAAATTCTATTTATTTATAAGTCACGTACCAAAGGCAGCGGTGAACTAGGAAAATTGAAGTACAAGAAAATAAAGTAAAAAAAAAAAGCAAATAAAATCAATATACTATACTAACTATGGAGAAGTGAGGTTGTCAGTCCTTGGAAGGGCTAACGACTGCACCACTCGAATAGCTTCTTGAAGCACCAGGGTAGGTACGAAGGGCGTAGAATCAAAAATAAAACGCCAGTATGCTTTCCATATCATTAGCAAGCTGCATCCAAAGATGCTAGAGGAATCAAAGGATTGCACTGAATCCTGTTGAGGGAAATTAAGGTGTAAAATTGCCTGCAGTAGTGCATGGCGTGATCATAGGGACAAAGGGAAGAAGTGGGTCCAAATGAGCTTCCAAGCGAGGTACTTTTTTCTACAGTCAATTAAGAAATGACAAGTGGTTTCTGAAGGCGAACTCCGATTGCACAGACGGCAGAAAGGAGAGAAAGAGGGAACGATCTTGTGTAGATTGGAAGCAGCAGGCAGCTTACCATGGATCAAACGAAACCAAACATTTCGAGCCGGCAAAGGGATATCCATGCGCCAAAAGGTTTTCCAAAACCTGACTGAATTACCTAGTGCGACTGAGGATTTTTTAACTTACGAAAGGAATGCTTTATGAATAAGCTTTCGCAGGTGAGAAGGCTGAATTAGCTGGATCTGATGATCGACTAACGGGGTAACCAACGGCAGAATTGTATTATCAATGGTGGTATGACCCAAAGTACCATCATGTGAGCCAATTTGAGAAGGTAGCATTAGCCGAGAAAGGAAAAGTGATAAGCGCACAGAGTGCGAATCTAACAATTGATACAATCGAACAACACGGTTACGTCAGCATTTAACAACGCGTTTCTCTTCTGATGTTAGTCTGCGTCGTATAAATTGCAGTTGAGGATCGAAAATGAAAGCATCCTGCACCTGAATATTTGAGTAGAAGGAGCGCTTGAGCAACAAAGGACCCTCAGAAGGCCAATCAATAACCTCAGAGAGGGGTTATACCATAGAGACAGACGCTGAGATTGGAGTGGGTTGTGACATATCCGTCCCCAAGGAAAGTTTATGCTTCTGTAAACCAGGGAGAATGTCAAAAACGCGAAACTATAACGAACAAAGGCTGGGACGAGAAGGATGCAATAGACCCTGCCGTAAGGAAGGGAAGAAGAAAGGCAAACGACCGTCTGGTAGAGTAAAAGAAGCTGTGCTTAAGATATGGGCAGACATCCATTTAGCCACAATAGCTGAAGGAGCCTCAGACAACAGAAATGGCGTGAGCCACCCGATATGCGAGAAGGCTTTGTTGAATTGCAGGATTGAGAAGGCCAAGGCCACCGCGTTGTGTAGGTTGCAGCAACACATTGTAGCTGATATAGGGAAATTGATGATGTTGAACAAATTGGCGGCCGATGGAGGTAATTTTATCCAAAATTTCCTTAGGAATCCAATTAACGCGTAACACATGCCATATTTTGGAGAGGAGAAGTGTATTCAACACGGTCGCGCATCCACGTACAGACAAGTTGCGACATTTGTGCATATAGCAGCTACGCTTAAGTCTGGCAACCAGATTAGACAAGAAAATCTGACGTTGCGAGTGAGAGTGGATTATCGGGTAGCCCAGATACTTCAGAGGCTCGTCAGAGGTGCGACCATGCCACTGACTGATGTCTGCAGTGGAAATAATTGCGCGGCAGCTAGGAGACGGTTGCCCAGAAAGCGAGAAAGCAATAGTTTTGTCGTAATTTATTTGAGTTCGAAGCAAGATTGTACAGCCGTACAAGCTCCTGAAAGGCTCGTAAATCGTCCTGATTCCAAAGAAAAACACAAAGGTCATCTGCATAAGCCAATACCTTGAACGAAGGAAGAGTCGGAGGGCCTTGCACTGGTGCAGAAAGTACCCTTAGGGATGGTGAAGGACCATCAAAGCCATGAATTCTTCCATCGGATAAAATATAAACATAAATAGCAGTCATAGATTCTCTATCCAAGTAAACTCTCACACAAACTTAATAGTAAGCAGCTCTTCTTAATAAAGAATCTAATTCGCAAGTCATCGACTTAATAGCCTTTTTTCAATAACACTAAAGCTGAATACAACACAGAGTCCATTTTTTCTTTTTGTCCTGAAAATCATACCACATCCAAAGTCCGACTGAAATCAACTGGAATTGGGTTAGGTACGTCAAGCAATACTACAATTGACGAAAGGAGAACAGAGGATGTGGTCACCCAGCCCAGATGGTATGAAAGATTTCTTATGTATCTATAAGTTGCCCACCCTTTATACAAAAAAAAAAAAGAAAAAGAAAAAATAGAATGCTTAGCTTGGAAAAGGATTAAGAGAGATAGTCTACACTTTTTTTTTATTTTATATATTTTCAAATAAAAAGCGCGGCTCGAAGAGCTTATACCACATCCTCTGTTCTCCTTTCGTCAACTGTAGTATTGTCGCCATTGAAAAATATTTGGTATTCGCTGAAAAAAAAGAAGAGAATTCATCGGGTGTTGTAGGGAACTTGATTGTAGCACAGTTTCTTCTGACATATGTTCCATCGATTAAATGATTTCAAAATATAATTGGAGATCTATTAGAGATATTAGTTGAATATTTTCTAAGATTACCAACAACAAGGAAAAGAAACTTACCGTGATATCGGACAAAGTGTCCAACATTTGTGTTGTATTCAGCTTTAGTGTTATTGTAAAAAGCCATTAAGTCGACAACTTGCGAATTAGATTTATTAAGAAGAGCTGAATATTATAAAGTCTGTGAGAGTTTACTTAAGTAGAGAATCTTTGACTGCTGTTTATATTATTGTCGTCACTGACATTATTTATGCTTATATTAATATTGTTATACTAGTAGCTACTATAGTTGTTATTATAAGTTATTCTTATCAGATGCGATAGAGGAATGTAAAGTAGAGTGTATGCTCTACTGTAAGATTATACTCGAGTTATTATAATGATTGTCTCATCAAACACGTCACCAACTCACTTATGCTACTTTCTTTTTTTTTGTAACTATGTGGCTCTCATTCAATAAAATTATGCGACCATTACTTTCTCTCTAAATGCTTTAACCTTTCCACACCTCATTCAGCATTTGCCCTTACTCATCACAAAGGGCGAAGCCCTTAAGCCTGCGGCAGCACGACGACGTGCAAAAACGAGCGTAGCGAGTTGGAA